GGTAGCTGCTATGGTTGAGTGATCTGATGAGTGACCTTATGCAAATGGTGTTTGAAGATTATGTTATTAATGGCCAGAATGGGTTGAGGCCTAGGCTTCCCCCCTCCCCCGCCCAAAACACAGAACTTAACTAAAATTTTAGTAGTTATATGTATACTGTACCTATTTGTATATGTGTGGTCTGTATAGTTCTATGAAGTTTTATTACACATGTGCTTTTGTGGAACTGCCAGTAAACTCAAGATACTACACTTTATCCCACCACAGAATTCCCTCAGGCTACCCCTTGATAGCCATACTTAACCCCTCTCTGCATATCCCTATCCCCTGACAACCACTTATCTATTCTCCATCTTTTTTGTTATTTCAAGAATGTTATATACGAATGGAGTCCTGAAAAAGTGTAACTTTTTGAGATTGGCTTTTTTTCCTCAGCATAATGCCCATGAGGTTCTTCGAAGTAATTGTGTGTATTAATGGTACATTTTTCTTGCTGATAGTATTTCTCTGTATGGATGGTTCTGTTCTGCCAATACTGCATTGTCTTGTTTACTCTATATCATAAGTCTTTTTTAAAAAAAATCATCAATCAGCATTTATTCTTTGAGAACCCAATATGTGTTTTTTTATTGAGGTGTGATTGTCATGGAGTATCCTCTTAGTTTCAGGTGTACATTTTAGTGATTTGATACTTGATCCTTTTGAAGCAACGATGAGTCCAGTTATCTATTGCCATGTAAAATTATTACAATTTCACTGACTATATTCCCTATGCTGTACTTTATATCCCCATGACTTATTTATTTTATGACTGAAAGTTTGAACCTATAATAAGTCTTGAAATTAGATATTATGAGTCCTTCAGTTTTCTTCTTTATAATTGTGTTGGCTATTCTAGGGCCTTCCCTTTTCATATGAACTTTAGAATGAGCTTGTCTGTGTACAAAATACCTTGCTGGTGTCTTGATAGGAATTCATTAAACCTATGTATAGTCATTTTGGGGAGTATTGACATCTTTAGTGTGTTGAGTTTTCTAATCCATGAACATGGTAAGTTTCTCCCAATTTTTAGATCTTCTTTGCTTTCTTTCATCAGTATTTTACATTTTTTAGCATACATATCCTCTTCATATTTTGTTGGATTTATACTTTAGTATTTCCTTTTGAGGGAGCAGTTATAAATGATGCTGTGTTTTAAAACTTTGGTTTCCACTTATTTGTGTTTGCATATAGAAATGAAGTTGATTTTCATTTTGATCTTGTATCCTGCAGCCTTGCAAAACTGTCTTATAAGTTCTGGGAACTTTTCTTGTGCATTCCTTGGGATTTTCTGTATAGACAACCATGCCATCTAAAATAAGGACAGTTTTATTTTTCTTTTCCAATGCGGATGCCTCTTCTTTCTTTTTCTTGCCAACGAAGGCTAGGATTTCTAGTACTGTGTTGCTTATGAGTGATGAGAATGGACATCCTTACCTTTTTCTCAGTCTTAGAAGGAAGGTATTCAGTCATTCACCATTAAGTATGTTGTTTGCTATAACTTTTCCTGTAGGTATTCTTCATGAAGTTGAAGATCCCCTCATTTCCTAGTTTGCTGAGACCTTTTTATTATGAATGGTGTCTAATTTTTAAAAAAATATTTTTCTATGTCAGTTGATATGATCATACGATATTTTTTCTTTAGCTTATATGTATTGCATTGATTTTTTTTTTTTTCATATTATACCAACCTTACATACTTGGAATACATGTTACTTGGTTGTGGTGTACTAACTATTTTGGATTCAATTTGCTAATATTTTCGTAAGGATTTTGCAGCTAAATTTGTGAGATATACTGGTCTTTAGTTTTCTTAATTCTTGTGATGTCTTTGTCTGGTTTTGTTATTGGCAACAATTGGTTTCATAAAATGAGTTGGGATGTGTTCCCGCTTCTTCCATTCCTGGACAACGTGTAAAATGGCAGTTAATTCTTCTGTCAGTGTTTGGTAAAATTCTCCAGAGAAACCATCTGGGGCTGGGGAGTTTTTCAAGAACTTTTAAATTACAAATTTGATTTCTTTAATAGTGTTTTTATTATTCAGGTTACCTGTTTTATCTTGAGTGAGTTTCGATAAGTTGTTTTCAGAAAATTGGCCCATTTTTTTCTAAATTGTGGAATTATGAGCTAAAGTTTTTTTTTGTTGTTGTTGTTTGTTTGTTTTTTAAGATTTTATTTTAAAGTAATTTCTACACCCAGTGTGGGGCTCAGACTTAAAACTCTGGTTTCAAGAGTTTTATGCTCTACCACCTAAGCCAACCAGGCACCCTGAGCTAAAGTTTAAAGTTGTTTGTAGTATTTTCTTACCTTTTTTAAGAAATTGAAGTAGAAGTTGTATAACATAAAACCTACCATTTTAAAAGTGTACATTTTAGTGGTTTTTAGTATATTCATGGTATTTTGCAACTGCTGTCTAATTCCAGAGTATTTTCATCACCCCAGAAAGACATCCCTTTCCCATTAAGCAGTAACTTCCCCTTATCTTCTTTCCTAGCCCCGGGCAACTAGTAATATATTTTCTGAATGGATTTGCCTGATGGGACATTTCATATAAATGGAGCCATACAGTTTGTGATTGGTTTATCCCACACAGCATGTTTTCATGTTTACCCATGTTGTTGTGTATATCAGTACTCAGTCTTTGGTTCATGGTCCCATCACTCTGACCTCTACTTCCATTATCTCATCTTCTTCTCTGACTTTCCTGCCTTTCTCTTATAAAAGAAAGACCCTTATAATTATCTTGGGCCCACCCAGATTATCCAGGGTAATCTTCTCATCCTTAATTTGACTTAATAACATGTGCAGAATCTTTTTGCAGTATAAGATAATGTTAACAAGTTTCAAGGATTAGGACATGGATACTTGGTGGGAGGTCATTATTTTACCTACTGCACGGACTTTAGATTTTTTATATTATCCTCTGCTCCCTGAGGCTCTGTTCTTTTTTTTTTCCCAGTCCATTTTCCCTTTCTTGTTTATTTTTTATTTTATTTTCAGGGGGGTTGTCAAATTTTATATCAAGATAACGTATAACAATATACACTTTTTTAAGTATAGGAAGAGATAATTCTAGCTGCTTGGAGAAACAAAGGAGCAAGTTGGAATTTACTGACAGCTTTAATTTATTTACTTAATTTATTTATTATGTTATGTTAGTCACCATACAGTACTTCATCAGTTTTTGATGTAGTGTTCCATGATTCATTGTTTGTGTATAACATCCAGTGCTTATTGAAACACGTGCCCACTTCAATACCCATCACAGGCTCACCCATCTCCCCAGGCCCTCCCCTCTAAAACTCTCAGTTTGTTTCCCAGAGTCCACAGTCTCTCATGGTTTGTCTCCCCCTCTGATTTCCCCTCCTTCATTTTTCCCTTCCTTCTTCTAATGTCTTCCATGCTATTCCTTATGTTTCACATATAAGTGAGTGAAACCATAGATGAGTAAACTGTTGATCTTGTCCTCAGGACTGAATTTATCCTCCTTCATCTCCATTGTTGAACCTATATACATCACTATTTTTATTTTGGAAGTTGCATATTTCAGTTGTATACATAATTTCCATTTGGTAGTTTTTTAAAAAAATAACTTGTTTCTTTGCTGAAATATTCTATTTTTTTATTTAAGAGAATTCTTAATTGTTTATTAAAGTATTTTTATGAAAATAGCTTTAAGATTCTTGTCAGGTAATTCCAGATTGTGGTTCATTTTGGTGTTGACATCAGTATGATTCTGTTTCTTACTCATGTGTGTTTTTCTTGGTGTGTGATTTTTTAAAAATTTTATCCTGGACATCTAAGATATTAATATGAGGAGAGTCTTTATCCTGCTTAAATCTTCTATTTTAGTAGGCAATAACTCTATTTAGGGTTAGTGTGTAGGTTCTGGCCTGCTTTTGGGAGCTGTGTATTTCCTGTGATAATTTAGTTTTCCGAGCTCTTGCAGTGCTCTTCTCTTTATTTTTCTGGCATCACAGGAGCTCCTGCTTAATCTCTACAGGTGTTGCCTGGGCTGACTGGTGGTTTGGGTCCCCATCTCTGCTACTGCTAAGGGCAGGTTGGCTGGACATTGCCCCAAGTGTGGCAGATCTGGCCCACTGCTGTCTGGGGATGGGGTGGAGACCTGCTGATGCCGATGTTGTAGTGAATTGGGGTCCCCTGCTATCCTGGATAGGGGCTGGGGAGTCCTGGGGAGGGTCTCTCTCCCCTCTAGGTCTCTGCTAAGCTAGGTCTCTGCTAATACTTTTACAGCCCTTTGTCCAGAAAGCAAGATTTTCTCTTTTGTCTATCTGTGTTGGTGGTTCTGGGTTTCAGGCTGTTCATGGATATGTGGGAGATAAGAGGAAAACCCAGTGAACTCACAGTGGTGCTTTTCCTCACATCCAAAGGCCTTTAACTCATCTACTTTCTTTCCACCTGTTAGGGTCATTGTATGATTGTCTGTTAAGTTATTTCTAGGGTATTAGTTGTATTGAGAGGAGAGGAGCAGGGAAGGGCGAGCCTGTGCCATCATACTTTAGAATTGGAACTGTAGCCATTTTGATTCTTCCTCCCTGCTGGTGTTTATTAGGAATTCTATGAAATGGTCAAGGCTTTGGCTTTTATTGACTGACACCTTACTTTTTAGGGTGTTACCTGTTGTTGAGTGTAGGAACAAGGTAAGAATTATTCTCTTGTTTATTTTATTATTCATTTTTCTTTTTAGAGAGAGAGAGCATGTGCATGAGTTGAGGATGAGGGGGAGAGGGAGAGAGAAAGTCTTAAGGGGAGCCCAGTGTGGCGCTCAGTCTCACAATCCTGAGATCAGGACCTGAGCTGAAATCAAGAGTTGGATGCTTAACTGACTGAGCCACCCAGATGCCCTGAATTATTTTCTTGTTTAAATTGTGTGAGAATTAGAAATGTCATGTTCTTATCTATTCATCTATTTATTTACTCATTTATGTATTTATCTTTAGGGAGTGGAGCAACGGCTGTGGTCCAAGCAGCATATTGTGCCCCTAAGAAGGAGAAAGTGGCAATCAAACGGATAAACCTTGAGAAATGTCAGACTAGCATGGATGAACTCCTGGTATGCACATCTCATGTTTTTTATTGAGAAATATACTCCTATTTGTATTCATGTTGGAGTGGGAAATAACTTGAAAATTTTAATTACTTTTCTAAAGAAAAGGCATTGTGATTGGCTCAGTAAATAATTCTTTTTGTAAAATATAGAAAAATCCAGGTAAATAGGAAAAATTAGTTGTAATCCTCCCATTCTGAGGCTAACACTTGCTATATAGTCTTTCAGAATATAAATATATATATATTTCATACATTAAAATATCTTTGTATTTTTATGATAATGTAATCATTTACTTGTTCTTTTCATAGAGAAATTTATCAAATTCTGTCTATAAATATGAATTAAAATGCCTTTCAGTTTGTATGTAGTATTCTGTTGCATAGGCAGACCACATTTTATTTAATCTATTTCTTGTATCGTACAATTACCTTTTTCCTCTTTTTTGTTGTTTTAAATAATGCTTCTTTACTTTTCTCTTTCCTTAAACTAGTTTCATGCAATTGTGATACCTGGTCGATGGAATATGCTTTAAAATGCTTTGGCCTCCTAGGAACATGGTACCAATCTGCATTATGACCATTGATGCAAGATGGGAAGTAGAAGGTGGCGTTGCCTTCTCCAAAGGCTATGGAAAAAGAGAAGAAAGGGAGTCTTGGGGATTAATAGTTGCAAGAGATGTTCTATGGCATTAAAAGCTAGACACACAGGGATTTTGTACTTCTTTATGAGCCATGGAACCCAGAATTGTTTGAAGTATGTAGTAAGTGCTCAGTAAAGGATATGAAGTAGATTTTCAAATCATTTAACTTTGTAAATCCTGTTTCTTTGGCTTAAAATGGAAATAATAACATCTGCTTCGTGTACCTCATGAGGTTTTTCTTTTTTAAAAGATTTTATTAATTAATTAATTTACTTTCTTAGTGGGGAAGGGGCGGAGGAAGAGAGAATCTCAAGCAGACTTCACACTGAGTGTGGAGCCCGATGCAGGGCTTGATCTCACAACCCTGAGATCATCACCTGAGCCAAAATCAAGAGTTGGATGCTTAACTGAGTGAGCCACCCAGGTGCCCCCTTCATGAGGTTTTTCTTTGAGGATGAAATGATCTAGTACTTGAAAAGTATAAACTGCCATACAAATAGGAACTAATGTTATTCTATTAAGTATTTCTTTTATTAAGTATTTCTCTAAGGTCACATACAGTTAGTGATAGAGAGGCAGGAATTAGCACTGAGATGTTCTGACATTCCAGAAGTCATTGTGTTCTCAGGTTGGATTTAATTTCTGGTGGAGCCTGTACTGAGTATTAGGGAATATTGGAATAAAAGGAAAAGAGATAATAGAATTATGCATTGAACTTTTAGGAGATTAAACAAAAGCATGTTGGGGCACCTGGGTGGCTCAGTTGGTTGAAGCCTCTACCTTAGGCTCGGGTCATGGTCCCAGGGTCCTGGGATCGAGCCCCGCGTCGGGCGCTCTGCTCAGCGGGAAGCCTGCTTCCTCCTCTCTCTTTATCTGCCTGCCTCTCTGCCTACTTGTGTTCTCTGTCAAATAAATAAAATCTTCAAAAACAAACAAAAACAAAAAAACCCCAAAAGCGTGTCTTCAGAAGTTGGTAATGTGTGAGTAGAAGCTAAAGAAAAAAATTTGCTATAGTGATCTTGAGCCGCTTTTGTGAGAGAATATACACTTGAAAGGACATGCCCACGGAAATCGTAGGTAGTAATCTTGCATTTAGAGATGCCTACAATCCCTTGGAGCATCATTTGGATATTTGAACTGCAGTCATCATAAAAGAAGGCTGTAAATTATAAACTAAGTATTTTGAGGGAAAATCAGAATTTTTAGCCTATATATATTGACTGGAATTTGAGAAGCCCGGTATGAATTTGTATCATTTGCCAGTTATTTTACATAACCCATAAGGATAGCATAAAGGTGAATGAAAGTCTTATTTATTACCTCATGACTAAAGAAATGGAAGTTCAAAGTTTAAATAACTTGACTGTGCTCACATGATAGTAACAGCAAACATCTTTTTAGTGATAGGCCCTTAAGTGTACTTTACCCTCATAAATGCCTCCATGAGACAGGTGGTAGCTCCATTTTAGATGAAGGAAGTAAATCATACAGTAAGTGACAGTCTGGATTAAAAATCAGGTCTTTCTGAGTAAAGTCTGTTGTTTCCTACTTCATCTAATAGTAACTAATTATAATCTTGGTTCAAAAGTCAAAAGAGCATCTGTCAGATATTAGACATCTTGAAAATAATATTTGTGTTACTACACTAGGCCTTACATGTAGAGGAGTGCAAATTTGGTCTAGCATATTAAAAGAAAAAAATAAATTAGACCTTCATCATTTTGTCTGCATAGTCCAGTAAGATTTATATTACAAATATAGTATTTATATATTTGGCAAATAAGTAAGGGGATGTGACTTTTAGTAAAACATCTAACAAATGTATTTATTTGAGAGAGAGAGGGAGCATGAGTGGCAGAGAGGGGCTGAGGGAGAGGTAAAAGCAGACTGTGCTGAGCACAGTGCCCCATGTAGGGCTCGATCCGAGGACCCTGGGATCAGTACCTGAAGGCAGACACTTAAGGGACTGAGCCACCCAGGTGCCCCTTAGTAAAAGCAAATTTAAAACAATTGGCCTTTTTGGAGGGCAAACAAGTGAGATCCCATTAAAGTCCGAAGAAACATTGGGAATATAAAGAAGACTGGTTTATTTGTGGTGTTCGTAGTGTCAGGGCCCTGAGATCTGAGTGAGAAGGGCTCAGTTTCTAAGAGATAAGAAGCCCTTTAGTTTTAGATCAGCGTACCAAACTTGTGGTATCGTGATTTTAAGTTTGTTTTCAAAATGGTCTCTGCTATAATGTAGAAAGGGTGCTGATGCGAATTATGTTATAGGTGTGTATCCTGTGTGACAGTTACTGGTGAGGAGGTAGTATATTGCTCCTTTCTCTTGTCAAAATGTTTTCTTATCTGACAACCTTTGCTAAGTGTGATGGGAAAATCAGCTGTAAAATCTTACTACACTTACCTTTTCCAGAGCTGTTACTCACAGGCACACTAGGCAGTGTTTTGAGCTTTTTCTCTTCTCTGGTAGTTGCTAGTACTAGATTCATTGGCCAGAGAGCTGAAGGGAACACAAGAGGCATAAAATGTCTCTCATTCAACTGGGAGGCTCACAATCCAGTTGAATGAAGAGTTAACACTCTTGTCTCCTGTACAGGACCAAGAGGGACAGATGCCTAGGAGAGGTGTCAACCACTGTGAAGTAAGAAGAGGAGGTGTGCTCCTAGTTACAAAGATGGAGGCCTCTGTGGAGATTTTTATGTTCTGGCCCACCAGGGCTGGGGACACTTTGAACAGACAGAGATAGAAACCTTACCAGGCAAAGGTTTAGAATTAGAAAAGAATTAGTTATGTATATATTCATAAATACTAATATATAACTGAAACAATATTTTCATAAAACAATTCTTAATTATATTCTGTAGAACTCACTCTGATTTTCTATTTCTTTTTTGTTTCTAACTTTATCTACTTAGTTTGTGTCGTGGCCTGTGTGGGTTGCAACCCATGGTTTGAGGTACACAGGGCCACACAAAGAGGTGTTAAGACTCTAAACTCAGGCAGTGACAGTGATAAGGGAAAGAAAAACACATCCCCTAGACATTTTATAGATGGAAGAATTGTTAGTTTTATTTATTTTTTATTTTTATTTTTTTAGTAGGCAGCAAAGCAGGGTTTATTGAGCAATAGCAAAGTGATAGCACAAAGGTCCCAAGGAAGGAGGGGACCTGAGAGGGGTGCCTGAATTGTTAGTTTTAGAATGAACATTCCATGAGGGCAGGGACTTTATTGTGTTCAGTCAATGGGAATGAATGAGTAAATTAACATTGCTTGGGGACTGACTGAATGGTGTGAAGTGGAGGTAAACTGTTTGTGTTGGGGTAATTAGAAAACCAGGAGTAAATGTTAGAAATCAAGATGAGTGAGTTCCAGGAAAGAATGAAAAGTCAGGTGGAGAACAGAGAAATCCACAGAAAAGCTCTGGCAGCAGCAGGTAACAGGACTTTAAAGAAAGTCCTTTCAGTGAAACGGATGGAATTTACTTCAGTGTGGGAGGGAGCTACTGGGAAACTTGAGTCAGAGTGAATATAGCACTTTCACAGAGCACTTACATACTTATTTTTGCTTTTGAAAGGAAAGGGAAAAGGATAACTCCAATGGGAGTTAAGATAAAAAAAAGGAACCCCTCTCTGCCCCTACCTTTAAAGGAATAGAAGAAAGAAAATAAATATTTAAGGCCCTTTCAAAAGTTCGAATTTGATGGTTCTCTAATAGTCTCCTGTTAGAGGACCCTTGGTGGTTCCCTCTCTCAGGGTAGAGCTGAAAATGAAAATCCTTAGCTTCACTTTTAAGACATTGGACCATTTGACCCCAATTCTATGTGCATGAATTGTCACCCTCTGTCTCCCCTACCCTATCCAGTTGGTTACCAAGTCCTGTGGTTTGTACCTCTTCAGTAGATCTCGTGACTCCTTCCTTTCTTTCCATTCATATTGCCATGTACTTTTAATTTATTTTTATTTATTTTTTTAAAGATTTTTATTTACTTATTTGACAGAAAGAGAGAGCACAAACGGGGAGCACCAGGCAGGGAGCCCAATGCAGGGCTCATCCCAGGACCCTGGAATCATGACCTGAGCTAAAGGCAGATGCTTAACCAACTGAGCCATCCAACCATCCCAGCATGTATTTTTTAAAAGCTATTTTGAGGTAGTTTAAACTTCTGGAAGAGTTGCAGAAGTACAGAAAGTTCCCAGATGCTGTTCACCCATCTTCTCCTAATAGTAATGTGATCACAGTGTGATTATCCAGACTGAGTGACTAGTTATTTATCATTTTTTTAGGCCACCGTCGACCCTCACCCAGGTCATAGCAATAGCGTTCGACAGTGTCTTTGGCTCTAGTCTTGCTTTCTCTCATTTATTTTCTATATTGCAGCCATAGTGATTTTTATGAAACAGTATATATAATTAAGCCTTTGATGCCATCCCTTTGCTGTTAGGATGAAGCCTAAATTCTTGAACACAGTTACACTGTCCTTTATGATATGGTCCCATGTGATTAAACAGTCAAACCTATAAAGTCTAGTTACCTTTCCTTGTCAGTGTAGTAAAACTTCTTATAGGAAGTTTTATTATTGAAAGGGTCCGTAGACAAAAGGACGAGACTGATACAAAGCGAAAGTTAAGCAGGGCTTTATTTCGCGCCAAGCATCGAGAATCAAACTGACCTGCCAGGGCTGTCTCTTGCAAAGAGGCCACCCCTCCCAGCCTCACAGACTAACTTTTATAGAGTAAAGGCCATGTGGTTGAGCCTGGCCACACACAGGTGGCCAATTGAATTACATTCTACCCCATGATAGTTATCTAATTCAGCCTATGACCTTGGCGAGAATTGGCACCTTTGTCTGGCCCAAAAGGCTCACACTCCCTGGCGGGTAATACATGCGCTTTTACTTGATTGGACGTCTCCACCTGGCCGGACACATCCTTGTATCTGGGCTCCGTTATTTTTGCCCAGCCTGACATGTCCTGGTATCTGTGCTCTGTTATTGGGGCTATTTGGCCGTATTTCACCAGTTCTGTTCCTAAGCGCTTTCCTCTTGTGGGGAAGGGGCAGGTTCAATCTAAGTTTACTTCATAAACAACAAAATGGCTCGCTCTGGCTAAGTAGGCCCTTACAATTATCATTCCTGTTTTCTGATAATTTGCCTCTCCAGTGAAGTCATGTAGTATCTGGTACTTCTCCTATCCAGCTGTTTATCACTGTGTGTTGTTAAATTAATATTTGCCTAATGTCTTCACCAGACTCTGGGTTTCTTGAGGGCTCACCATTGTAGTCAATCACCTAGCACTGTGCCTGGCACCTAGTAAGCGCTTGGTAGATATTTGTTGAAAGCATGAACCACTTACCCTAGACAGGTCTACTCATTCCATCCTAAAATATGTCTTGTATAGTTCATCTTTCTTTCTTTCTTTCTTTTGTAATTGTGTGTGCCTTGCAGTGCTGTAATTTCCCTATATCCTGTAGAACCAAACCTCCCCTGAGAGGACTTCTTGCCTACCTTCACTCTTCTTTCCAATGAATCCTTGTAATATTTACTATCTATGACTCACTGGGAATATATGTTGCCATATATTTCTCTCATATGTCTTCTCTTATTTCTTTTAATCTTGTATAACTATGTCAACAGGGAGGTGCTTACTTTAGTTTTACTTAGTTTTTAGTTCAGAAGACTGTGCTGGTGACTTTGGAGGTTGCAGAAATGTATATGACAAAGACCTTGCTAGAAAGGAATTTACATTCAGTTAGAGATGAGACAAGAAAAACTAATGTTCATGGAGCACTGCTTTTGAATCCATTTTTGGGCAACTTCTACACAATTTATTTTTACTATACAAATATCAAGGTCACAGGGCAAGTACAGTACTTGAATAAGTAAAACGTTTTATAAAGCACTATAGGATTTAATTCATTCAGTAAATATTTATTGCAGGTGTACTGTGTGCCAGGCAGAGTGATAAGTGCCAGGATTACAGAGGCTCAGCTTTCATGGAGCTTAAAGTTTTGTGAAGGATACAGAAAAATAAGCAATTACAGTATAATATGATAAGTTCTGCAGTATTTAGGGAATCCACCTTTTTTCATGGATTTCTTAAATTCAAGTACAATTAACATACAGTGTTACATTAGTTTCAGGTGTGCAGTGTAATGATTCAACAATTTTGTGCATTACTAGTGCTTATCACGGTATATGTTCTCTTAATTCCCTTTATCTCTTTCGCCACCCCCCCCCCTGCACTTCCCCTCTGGCAACCACCGATTTGTTGTGTGTATTTAAGAGTCTGGCTTTGTCTTTTTATTTTGTTTGTTTTGTATTTTAAATTCCACATATGAGTGAAACCATATGGTATATTTGTCTTCCTCTGACTTATCTCACTTAATGTTATACCCTCTAGATCCATCCATGTTGTTGCAAATGGCAAGACATCATTCTTTTTTTGACTGAGTAACAGTCCTCTGTGTGTGTGCGTGCGTATGCATGTAATATGCACCAGCTTGCATTTAGGGATCCACTTTTAAGTACTTGCTTTCTGGAGTTCTCAGTCTACCAGGGAGGGATAGATAAATAAGTACCCAAGGTACTTCCCAGTGCATATGTGCCATGATGTAAAGAGATTCACAGGGAGTTTGGAAGACAAGAGATACCTAATTCAACTTGGGGAGCTGATGGAATTGATATTTTGGCTAGATTAGAAGGAAGAATTAGCATTTTTAGCCAGGGTAAAATAATGAGGGAGGGAGGTGTATTTGAGGTAGAGGGAGCAATGCCATTAAATACCATGGTTAGAAGAAGCATGGTCACCTGAAGTTTACTGTGGCTGGATCGTAGGGGTATATTGGGGTTGGGTCAGTGAGAGAGTAGGATTGAGATGAGAGAGGTATGCAGGGCCCAGATCACTCAGGGCTCTATAAGTCCCTTTATCACACCCAAGCTAATCTAAATTCATAACCTGAGTTAGAGGGAGCTCACATTTCTACTTTGGACTTGGTTTCTGACCTTGCTGTTTCAGGATATTTCTTATTAGAGTGAGAATTGTTAATTATTTCACAAAAATGGGAAGAAAAAGTATTTTCAAAATAAAACAAAACCCACAAACCAAAAAGCACCCTCTACCTGAATAGACATTTTTCTAAGGAAGACAGCCAGATGGCCAGCAGACATATGAAAAGATGCTCAACATCACTCATCACCAGGGAAATGCAAGTCAAAACCACAATGAGGTGTCAACTCAAACCCATCAGAATGGCTAAAATAAAAAAGACAAGAAATAACAAGCGTTGGCGAGGATGTGGAGAAAAGGGAACCTTCCTGCACTAGTGGTGGGAATATAAATTGGTGCAACCACTGTAGAAAATAGTATGGAGGCACCCCAAAAAATTAAAAATAGAACTACCATATGATCCAGTAATTAATTCTGCTCGTGGGTATTTACCCAAAGAAAATGAAAACACTAGTTTGAAAAGATTTTTGCACCCCTATGTTTATTGCTATAGACAAGATATGGAGGCAACCCAAGTGTCCATCTATAGATGAATACATTAAAAAAGGTGATTTTACACACACACAGATACACACAGTGGAATACTGCTCAGCTATAAAATGAATGGCATCTTGCCATTTGTGACAACATGGATAGGCCTAGAGAGTCTTATGCTAGGTGAAATAAGACAGAGAAAGACAAATACCATATGATTTCTCTTACACGTGGAATCTAAGAAACAAAACAAGCGAACAAAGGAAAAACAGACTATTAAATGCAGAGAACAACCTCACTGCCATTAGCTGCAGAGATGGGTGAGACAGATAAAGGGGGTTAAGAGATACAAACTTAGAGGTATAAAATAAGTAAGTCACAAAGTTGGAAAGTACAGCATGGGGAATATAGTCAATATAATAATGTTGTATGGTGACAGATGTGGCTATACTTGTGAGCAGTGAGTAATATATAGAATTGTCAAATCATTATGCTGTATTCCTAAAACTAATACAACATTGTATGTCAGCTGTACTTCAGTACTTGATTAATAGAAGTAAAGTAATGGGGTGCCTGGGTGGCTCAGTCGTTAAGCATCTCCTTTGGCTCAGGTTATGATCTCAGGGTTGTGAGACTGACCTCCAAGTCTGGCTCCCCACTCAGCGTGGAGTCTGCTGGAGATTTTGTCTTCCTCTCCCTCTGCCCTTCCGCCTGCTCATGTGTGTGCATGCCCTCTCTCTCTTTCAAATAAATAAAATTTAAAAAGAAAATAGACACTTTAAGATACGATAAAACAAAAACAAAACCACCCTCTATTTATTAGTAATTATCCCCTGTGGCTATAAAACTAGGTTTCCCAAGAGAGTTTTTCAAGAGCACCTTAAAGAAGAACATGTCCTAGTGGAGGCCTCTGTGGTGCTGTGTAAGGCTGTGATAAAGCAGGCATGTTTCTAGTTAAAGAGGTTATGAGTGGAATGATCAGTCAGAATGGACTGAGGGAAACTGAGGAGTTTTTTGGTTTAACTGTAGATCCTGCAAAGGTTGTTATATAGTCTTGGGATTTTCAAATCTGAATTCACTAACTTGTAGTGTTGTTTAGGCTTGCATCTAATATATTATCATGTTTTCTCTTCTTTGTAGAAAGAAATTCAAGCCATGAGTCAGTGCCATCATCCTAATATTGTGTCTTACTACACGTCTTTTGTGGTAAAAGATGAACTGTGGCTAGTCATGAAGCTGCTAAGTGGAGGTGAGTAGAGTACAATGAAATGCTAACTTCCATTGGTTGGAAAGTTACTAAAAATATTCTTCTTTATCCTGGTTTGGTGTTGATGGATATTTGCTTTTGAGGACATACTGAAAATGTAGTATCTGCTAAAGATGCTGGTATGTGAGCTGAGACAGTTTCACACACTGCATTTGGTTGCAAGCTCTTAATCTGTGATGATTCCCTCCAGCTTCCTCTGTTCCATGACAGAAATTTGTTGAAGGTTCTAGTCTGAAGGGTCTGAGAATAACTGTCTTGTAGAATGACCCACATTTTGGATTTATCTGCTTATTTCTTTCTGGTGATATTTAACTTGATTTGTATTCCCCTCTTTATGCAAATTGAAAATTGGAACTGAAGGTTGATTAGATTTAAGTTAAAATTTTTTTTACAATATTTTGACAAAATGCTGTGTATTCATAGTGCATCACACCAGGAAGCATTTGCTCTCTTGTTATATCTTTAATGGTGGTGTTACTTTTGATTGCTTAAGATTTTGACAGCCAGGCCTCAGCATGGAAAGGTTAACTTTTTTTCCCTTTGTAGCTAGCAGGTAATCTGTGAGATGATACTTGGGCACTTGTGAGTATCCAGAACCCCACCTAAGTCAGTCAGTCTTTCTTTTTCTTTCTTTCTTTTTCTTTCTCTGTCTTCATTTCATTTCATTTCATTTTTTTATTTGAGAGAGAGAGAAAACACAGGCAGAGGGGAGGGGCAGAGGGAAAGGGAGAAGCAGACTCCCTGTTGAGCAGGGTGCTAGACACAAGGCTCCAATCCCACATGACCTGAACAGAAGGCAGATGCTTAACTGACAGAGCCACCCAGGTGGCCCTCTCCTATCCCCCACCTAAGTCTTTCATTTAATAATTCTAGCATCCATTCACAATCCTTATTTGAGTCCGTTATTCTGTCAAGGTTTGCAGAATGGAGACTTATTGCATCCTTTCTTTTACACGTATAAACTAGCATTCTTCTGTGTAAAGGAACTTTACCTTATTAACTAGGGCTCTTTGATTAATCTGTATTGTAGTTCCTACTAAAAATGGAAGATACATAATTGATTCTTTTTACTTAAGTACCGATTTTCAGAGTAAAAAGTTGGTTTAGTATTCACCTCCAGTTGTAGCAAATGAGAGGGTTTTCTTTTTTTTTTTCCTTGTTGGGTAAGGCTTTCGTTTTTTTATGCACATACATAGACACAAAGAATTTTACATATTTAGTGACTTCCAGTCAGTTTTACTCTATTTTTTTGATGCCCAGATTGTCCGAAACTTTGTCAGTGGGTCTCCCTTTAAGCTTACTCTTAGGTCCTTTTGACGTGAATCCTTTAATTTTTGGTTCAAGATTTCTTAGGGTCACATTTTTATTGCTTTTCCCAGACCCAGAATCAGCCAGTACTCTAAGGGGTTCTGATCTTTGTTAGAAGAAAGTTATTTAGAGAGCATAACTGGGATGTTGGGGATGTTCATTGCTACTACGTTGTCATCACTTCAAGTTGTAATAACTTGGAAATATAGTGTATTAAAAATTATGATTTGAAATTAGTGTTTCCAGTTCAAGTTTAACATTATAGACTTCTAAAACTTCTTAAAATTGTACTTGAATCTCTTTTCTCTTACACAGAAAATTTTGATCCCCAATATTAACATAGTTAATTATGGTGCTTTATCCTGCAGTATGTATACAGTTATTTCTGCTCAAGCCTTTAGAATAAAATGTAAGTATTGCTGACTGCCAACAGTGGACCATTGTCATGTATAGATTGAACATTTTGTTATGGTTACCTGAAGGCCCAAGTCATATAGTAAATTAGACATTTTGCCAAGGCATGGATTTGGATCATGAAGCAAGATTGGGAGGACCAGTGAGTGATGGAGCCACCAACCTTTCCATCACTATGCTTCTTGATTTTTGTTTGCATATGTATTTTGTATGGGAGCATGATTTCCCATTTTAGAATTGATAATACTGTATTTCATTGAACACCTTACCTCCCCAGAGAGGCTGTAAAAGAGCTCAGGCTCTAGAATTAAATTCCACTTTCCTACTTAGCAGGTTTATGTCATTGGGCAAACTTTTTAAACTCTTTGAACCTGTTAACTTTTCTGTCAAATGGGGATACCTTTCTGTATTTTAGGGTGTTGGGGTGTAGTAAATGAGGTGACGTATGTCAGGCATCTTTCATTGTGCTGACATATAGATGCACAGGAAATTTAGCCATTACTAATAATCCCTTGTTATTTGATGCTTTTCAGTGTAGCCAGAATCACCTTTTTGTTTCAATCCCATTAGTGACACACTGGAGAAACTGGATGGCTTTGTTAAAGGCCCTGTTCATATGATGGTTGGAATCCTTGCTAACACCAACCACCTTTCAAGATGGTGGTCAAGCATGGTTCTTTCAGTATGGACAGATATGGGAATATTAGGTAATACTGTATCTTTCATTATTGATCACCTATAGCATAATTTGCTTTATTTGTAATTTACAAAAAATGTATAATACAAAGTTTTTACTGTTTTGCTAAAAAGTCCTTTGATGAATAGGAATACATTGTCTTGCTTTATTCCTTCATCCATACTGGTATGCGAACCCATCCTTTCTGCTACTCCTAAGCAGAATGAATATATATTTTTTAAAGAATCTCTGTTTTTCTCTCAGGGAATATATATCCTGATCTTAGAAGGGGCAGGACATGTAGCTGGGTGGGATGTCTTTTAAATGTACCTCTCTGCCTTTCCTGGTCTTAGGTTTCCTGGGACAGTGCCCAATTTTTCCAGCCCTGGGACTCAGGAAATTTCCTGGAGGATACTTTTCAAACATGTTCCAGCCATTAACTCTCTTTTTAATTACTTCAATTTCTATGAGTCAATATAATCTTATATCTAAACTCTTTAAGATATTAAAGAGTGGACATCTTAGAAAAATGAAGTCTTGCTTTTCTAGTTATAAAGTGAGTAAACATTTAAATTGAAGAGATACATTAAACACTTTTTAGAAAACAAAAGCTACAACTAAGCAGAACTTTAAAATGCTTTTAAAATACAGAGAAACTGCCAAGATTTAGAGCTCAATTAACATTCCATTCATCAAATACTTACTGATCACCAATATACTGGTGAATCATACACTTAGTTCCTTGCTCTTCTGGGCCTCATAGCTAGTAAGGAAAAGTTACAATTAAATAATTAAGTATGTAGAGAACCAGGAAGAAGTTTCAGGTGCCATGGGAACAGGTACCAGGAGAATGTAACCCAACCGAGGGAGAATGGATGCGGAGGGGTTAATGAGGACTTCCCTCAGGAGGTGATGTTCAGCTGAGACCTAGAGAACAGGTCATAATTAGCCAGGTGAAGTGGGAGGTGGAGGTGGTATCAAGGGAGAGATGGGGTAAGTGATCCACATAGAGGGAACACTGTGCAGAGAAGGTTCTGTAGGCAGGATGGAGGAGTATGGTGTGAACTGATGGGGACCTGCACCTGGAGCCAAAAGAGTGAGAGGAGAAGACTGTTGATAAGCAGAGGCTCCCTTTGAGTAATTAAATAATATAAATAACCAGAGTTGATGGAAGTATGTTTAGGCGACCGTCTTTCACATCAACTTTTTTAGTCAAAATATTTAAAACAAAAGCATACTTTTCATTTAGCAACATTGCATTGATATAAAGGTTAATAACTAATAAAATCGTAAACTGAATTACAGCTATCATTCTTAAACCTACCAAGCAGGTGGACATCATGGTTAAAGTAAGTTTAGATTCAGTGTGTCAATATTATAGTCCTTTTTTAAAAAAACATTTATTTATTTATTTGACAGATTGAGAGAGAGAGATCACAAGTAGGCAAAGAGGCAGGCGGGGGGGTGGTGGTGGGTGGGAAGCAGGCCCTCCACTGAGCAGAGAGCCCGACTCGGGGCTCGATCTCAGGACCCCGAGATCATGACCTGAGCCAAGGCAGAGGCTTCACCCAAAGAGCCACCCAGGCGCCCCTATTATAGTCTTATTGCTTCCTTGTAACTGTGATACTCCTCTGTGAATTAAACTCTGATATTGAATATTGGAATTTATTAGCGTAAGAAGTTAATCTTCAGAAATTAGAAGCAGTTCTGATCTAAGTAAATATTTCTGCAATTTATTAGCACCAAACTGCAAGAGTTTCAGAAATCAAAGTAAGCTGTTGAAAGGAGAAGAAAGAGAATTATCTGTAGGACTTAGAGGTATGAATTGTGACACTGAAGAAACCTGATTTAAAATCACTATCTTAGTGAATTGATTTTGTTCTTTAGGGATGCTCTCAACTTTGTCTTCTTCCATGGGAACTTAGTAATCTAACCAGGACCCAGGTAAAGTACCTGGTATTAATAATAGTCACCAATTTTGGTTGTTCAAGCAACAGTGGAGGGGCATGTCTGTTTGAAATGGAATACTGAGCCCAACCAAATTTTGTCACCTTTGAAACCTTCCATGGCTCAGGAAGACAAGAACAAAGCCCAGTGGCTAAATTCTGGTTAAAGCTTCTTGGCAAAAATTCTAGTAACCAAAATGAGCTAATTTTGGATTCAAAGAGTGTTTTTTCATAAAAGTAAACTGAGGAAACAAACATGTTGACTGAGTAATTTGAGCTGTAATTATGACACTTAAGTGTCTAAACCAGCAGCTCTTTTGCCACTTTTTCAATATTATTTTAATATTTAATAATGATTTTCTGGGCAGTTAAAAGTTTTGCATTGCTTTTTAAATGTTCTATGCCATGGGCTTGGAAAGCAGACATGAGATGGATTTTTTGGAATAGGTATCTACATTTTAACTTTTTGCTTTGTTACCTGATTTGTACCCATTCCCTCTTATTTTCTATTCTGCTTTTACTCTGAGAAATGCTTAGATTTCAGTGGACACTGTTCGCCAGGTAGTCAAGTTTGTTAAAATACATCTTTTGGGTCCACCTTATATCTCTTGAATGACAGTCTGCAAGATCTGAAAATCTGCATTTTAACCAGTTTACCAACTAATCCCTTCATGTGTTAAAGTTTGAGAAGGGATTATCCCTGTGGAGTATTTTTTCCAGATTGTGCCCAAGGACACAAGATTGTGTGTGCTCTTATAGCTTTCCCTCATTATTCCTACTTTTCCTTAGCTGTTAATTGAATCATCCAGTGGTAATCTACAGTCTTTTTTTGCTTAACATATTTTACTTTCACATTTCTTAGTTGATATGAAGAGATCTGTGTAATTTTGATATTGGAGGAATGAGGATTGTAAGCACCATCATCATGTTAGATGCTGCAAGATGCTGAAGAAATCATACAGGAAAAAGTGAACACCTTCCGGGACCAGTATTTGTCAGTTAAAGATCAGGGTCTTTGTGACATAAATATCTTTCCACCTATAAGGGAAGACTGAAATGGAAAAGAGACTGTATAAGAAGAGGGGACTTCTTGGGGCACCTGGGTGGCTCAGTCAGTTAAGTGTCTGCCTTTGGCTAAGGTCATGATCCCAGAGTCTTGGGATTGAGCCCTGCATCAGGCTCCCTGCTCAATTGGCACCCTGCTTTTCCCTCTCTACCACTTGTGCTGTCTCTTGGCATACATACTCTCTCTCTTTTCTCTCAAATGAATAAAATCTTAAAAAAAGAGCGAGAGAGAGGGAACTTCTTATATAGCTTATTCAGAATGTCTGTGCTGGACGCATAGACTGGGAATGTGCACTGCTTTAATTTCCCTGTTGATCATTAATGATATGAAATCATTAAAATCTTGGAGGATTTTAGGGGCACCTGGGGGGCTCAGTGGGTTAATCCTCTGTCTTCGGCTCAGGACATGATCTCATGGGTCCTGGGATTGAACCCCGCATTGGGTTCCCTGCTCAGCAGGGAGCCTGCTCCCCCCTTTCTCTCTGCCTACTTGTGATCTCTCTTTCTGTCAATAAATAAACAAAATCTTTAAAAAAAAAATCTTGGAGGATTTTAAAAAGGAGTCCCTCCTTCGAAGCCATTAAAAATACAGATCTAATAACTTTCTGTATGCCTTGGGACACCAGGGTGGCTCAGTCCGTTAAGCTGCTGCCTTCGGCTCAGGTCATGATCCCAGGGTTCTGGGATTGAGTCCCACATCAGGCTTCTTGCTTATTGGGGGAGCCTGCTTCTCTCTCTGCCTCTGCCTGCCACCCTGCCTACTTGTGCTCTCTCTCTCTCTCTGACAAATACATAAATAAATAAAATCTTTTAAAAAACAAAAACAAAAACTTTATGCCCTAAGTCTCTTATTACTCCATGTTTTTGATCCCCCAGATTGGAAGTTCCCAGAAAGTCAGCAGTTATACCATGAGTATCTTGACATATTTTGTGGTACCCAGATCTAGGTCTTGCATATAATATGGCCAAATTTTTGAATAGATAACTTGTGTTAATTTTTAATTCCTAGTAGGAATTTCTCCTTTGCATTCCTTATTTTAGATATTCTTTACATTACAAACATATAATTCAATTGGCACTTATTTATATAAATGTCTACTTACTAAGCAGTTCCTGTGTGGCCTGAGTTTCTCAGAATGAAACATATGACCTTTTGGTATAGTTACTTTGCTTTGGGGACTAATATGTGATTGATTAAACTAAGCAGAACAAAATGTCTCCTTTAGGCCTCTCCCTGTGTGAGTCACAGCCTCGTGAATCCCGGCAATAAAGAGGGGAAAGTGTGTAATAATGTATTTGAAAATGCCACTTGGAATCTGGAGCCTTCCTGGTTCATTGTCTTCAGAGAGTAAACTGTCTCCTGCAGGACGTGGGGAGCGGGAGGGGCTTCCAGAGAGAGGGGAGGAATTTGGGCATCTTTCTTCCTGGATAAATGAATTTTCAACAGTTATCCTGGTTTCAGCCCTATTCTTCAGTCCGCTTTCACTTCCCCTTAGGTAGACTTTGCTGTATGTATGTGCTCTGTAGGGATATGCTGTTTCCTAATTAACACACTCTTCCACAGGCATCTGGGTTTCAGATGGCTCTACTCTGCTTAGTTAGTTAACTTGTTCTGTTTTACTTCCTTCAAAAAATGATTGATGTCTCTCCTCTTTATCTTCTTTGTTTTCTTTTTCATCCTGGATTTATACCTTTTTTTAAATCAAGTTTATCAAATTAGTGGATTTCAAGTGGGAACTGAAGTAAATGTATGTGTTTTGAAGGATTCCATCTAGATCCTTCTTTCCATCTATTTGGAAATACATTTTTTCTTGTAAGTGTGTGAAATAAAAGCCCCCACTAGGGCAAATTTTCAACATAACCGTGTGGTTTAATTTTAGTCTTGATCATTCAGGTCTTGTGCCAAGAAATGGAAATCCAAACTTTTTTGTGCCATTTGTGTTATATTCTACTCTTTGGCATGATTTCTGATATCAGAGATGATTTTGTTTTGCTTCTGTGGTCTTTATGGGCCATTGTACTGCCAAAAATCTTAAGAGTCTCTAGCAAACTTTTTTGATTATAATAACTAATTATGGTAGTCAGCAGTCTATGATTTTAATTACCGCGTAGGTGTTTTTTCTCTGTCCCCCCCCCCAGTTTTTAGTCAGAGTGTTATTTCAGATCCGGGGTAGAATAGGAATGATAATATATCTGGGCTGTTATTGAAAGAGAACTGCCGTTTTTATCCTTTTCATTTTTTTTCTTTTTGTACCTATTTTTTTATTATTTTTAACCTGAAAAGTAATTTTAACCCTTGAGTTGGTTTGCATACACATGTGATCTTTACTTGCCAAGAGTTTCTTCTGTAATTTGACCTGCATTGTAATTGTATTTTTATGTATTTATTTGTACAGTGTTGCATAATCTGATCCAATATCGGAAACCTAAATTAGTTTGTGGTATCTTACACTAAAGTGTTATTGATGGGTATGTTTTACCTGGTATTTTGCAGATGTGGTTAAAAATCCTCTTACCTTTTTCAAATTCTTATTTTAATAGTCTAAAGGAAATGCTGGTGTAACACTGCTGTTTGGATATTAGGCTGCTTTCTGTTTTAGATTGCAATCAAGAATAAATTAATTTTATTAAACTTCTATATTTCCTTGTATTTGCTCTTTTTTCCTTTCCTACACATTTAAGTTTATGAAAAGGCTTACATGTGGTTTGATTTCAAAATGTCTCTAAATTATATTGAACGATTCAAAAATTCATATCAAATTTTGTCTTCTGTTTTCAGGTTCTGTTCTAGACATTATTAAGTACATTGTGGCAAAGGGGGAGCACAAAAGTGGAGTCCTAGATGAGCCTACCATTGCTACAATACTCAAAGAAGTGCTGGAAGGGTTGGAATACCTGCATAAAAATGGACAGATTCACAGGTACGTAAAAGACAACTCTGCTTTTTTGGGAAAATGCAGTGGTAGTTGTGCTGTATCATTTTGTTGAGACCATTCCCCATTCTTCTGCAGAATTGATCATAATCTCTGAGTGTTACCATGGCTTTTTGTATCACTAGTTTCAGCACATTGTGGTTAGGGTTTTAGTTAAATAGCAAGTATTTAAAAAAACAAATATTTTAGTCAAACTGGAAAATACAAAAACATCATTTCATGCTGTCAAGAGGCAAGCATCACAGTCACTGGTGACATTTTGTAGTATTTCTTCCCAGTTTCTTTTATATGGTTAAAAGATATATAAAACAGAACTATGTATAATTTTGTCTGTTGCTTTTATTGTTATTTTACCTTGAGTGTTTTCTCAAATTACTAAAAGCTCTTTATAAAATAATGTTTTATTAAGACTTCTTTTTTTTTTTTTTAAAGATTTTATTTATTTATTTGACAGACAGAGATCACAAGGAGGCAGAGAGGCAGGCAGAGAGAGAGGAGGAAGCAGGCTCCCTGCTGAGCAGAGAGCCTGATGCGGGGCTCGATCCCAGGACCCTGGGATCATGACGCGAGCTGAAGGCAGAGGCTTTAACCCACTGAGCCACCCAGGTGCCCCCCCCCTTTTTTTTTAATGTGAAAAGATATGTATCATTGCATGGTCCAAGTATTCCTGGCTGCCTCTCTCTATTCAGCCCCTCGGTAGAGATAATAAGAATCCAAATGATGATGGAATCTGTGTTACCCAAATCTATTTAATCCCTGGATTTGGCTTTCCTTCGTATCAGGCAATCTTTTTAGTCATTCTTAAGGATAGTCTCACTGGATATAAGAATTTGCTGCTGACAGTGCTTTTCTCTCAGCAATTGAAAGATGCTGAATTACTTAATTCTGGCCTCCAGGGTTTCAGATGAGAAGTCTGTTGTTTGGATTGATCTTCTCATAATGTTATTTTTCCCTAGCGTCTTTTAAGATTTTTTTGTCTTGGTTTTTGAAGTTTGATTGTGATATCTTGGTTATGGATTTCTTCAGCTTTATTCTGTGTTGGGTTCCCAAACTTCTTGAGTCCGTAGGATTTTGCCTTTCACCGAGTCTGGGGAGTTTTCAGCCGTTATATCTTTGGCTAGTTTTTTCAACCCATTATTTCCCTCCTCTTTTTCTGGGACTCTGTTAATACAAATGTTACCTATTTTGTTATTGTACCTTAAGCTCTGAGGCTCAGCTCAATTTTTGTCATCTTATTTTTTTTCTCTGTTCAGATTGAGTAAATTTTCTTGCTTTGTTCTCAGGTTCTGATTCTGACCTCTGCATTCTGGGCTAGAACCGATTGAGGTTTTTTCAGTTATTGTAATTTTTTAGATAATTTTGTTCTTTTTTATGGCTTTTTTTTGCTGAGATTTTCTGTTTTTCATGTTTTGAAAATCCCAAACTGCATGTTGAAGCATTTTTATAATGGCTGCTTTAAAATTCTTGTCAGATAATTCCAAGATCTGACTGATTTCCGTGTTGATGTCAGTTGTCTTCTCTTATTAAAGTTCTTCCTAGTTCTGGGTATGATAAGTGATTTTTTTTAATTGTATCCTGGATATTTTGGGTATGTGTTTGGAGACTCTTGATCTCATTTAAATATATAATTTAGCAGGTGTTTTCCCTATTTGGGTAAATATAAGTCTTGGTGTATTTTGGTAAGCTGTAGTTCCAGTGACAGTTTGAGTTTTAGAGTTCTTATAGTGCTCTTCTGGTTTGTTTTGTTCACCTGGCACTGCTGGGGGGGTTCTACTCAATTTCTGCTGATATAACCATTGAGACCAAAAGTGTGCGTCCCCAGGTCTGGTGCTGCTAGGTGGAAGGTGGGAGATAGACGCTGTACCTGTGGGTCTGTGAGCACTTTTGTGGGCGTACTCTATGGGCCAGGCCACTCGTGCCAGTGGGGCTCCCATTCGTTCTCTGATGGTATTGCCTGTGGGGTTGAAGGCATATGCCTGAGCCACCTTTTGTTGCTGGGTTGAGAGTTGGGAGACACTGGGCCTGGGTTGTCCTTTGCCACTATGTGGAGGGCTAGAAAGTGTTGGGCCTGGATTGTTCTCTGCAGCTGGGTAGCAGGCTGGGGTTGCTGGTGGGGCTATTGGTGCTGCTGGTGTGGGCAATACAGGCCTACTTGCTGGAGTGGATATAGGGTGGAGAATGGGGTTTTCCATTTGGTTCTTCATTTAAACCTCTGGTTCAAGGGACGCCTGGGTGACTGAGTTGGTTAAGCATCTGCCTTCGGCTCAGGTTGTAATTCCAGGATCCTGGGATCGAGTTCCGTGTTGGGCTCTGAGCTCTGCGAGGAGCCTGCTTCTCCTTCTCCCCCACTTGTGCTCTTTAGCTCTCTCTGTAGCTCTCAAATAAATAAATAAAATCTTTAAAAACCAACCAACCAACCAACCACCCAGCCTCTGGTTCTGACATAGTGGGCCATCTTGCAACTCCAGCTATGGGTTCCTTTGCTAAGTCTGTGCTAGGTTGGCTCTTTGCTGCTCCTTTGGCTACAGAGAGCAGGCTTCCAGGGTTTTTTTCACTTTTGTTTTTGTTTGTTTGTCATCTATGCCCATTGATGCTAGTCCACAGTTCAGGATATGTGAGATGAAAAGAAAACTCAGAGAAGTTGTATAGTGCTCCTATAGTGCTGCTGTACACTTCGGATTAGTGTAAATGTTTATAGCAAACTCTAGGGCAGCCACTAAAAGAAAGAAAAAAAGACTTGATATACTGAGAGGGGAGGAAAATGGAATCTTGTAAAATGCTTAGTTAAAATCAAGGCAGAAAAAAGGTAGAAGATAAAACAAGATTGTTATTTTAAAAATCATCTACCTTTAAGGAACTAGAAAAGAAAAATAAGAATAAATTAAGCCCAAAGTTAGCAGAAAGATATAAATAAAAAGATCAGAATAGAAATACACGAAATACAGATGTTTCAGATGTGACACTAATAGCAAAGGCATCAAAAGAAAAATTAAACAGCTGGGACCACACCAAACTAAAAAGCTTCATGGCAAAGCACACCATCAACAAAATGAAAAGGCAGCCTGTGGAATGGGAGAAAATATTTGCAAACCACATTATCCAATAAGGGGTTAATATCCAAAAATGTACAAGGAACTCCTACAACTTAGAGACAAAAAACCATAAATAGCCTGACTAAATATGAGCAAAGGTTCCAAATGGACAGTTTCCCAAAAAACGATATACAAGAAAAAGTACTCTGCATCACTAATCTTGGGGAAATATAGTCAGAACGACAATAAGATACCATCTCACATCTGTTAGGATATGTTTCCAAAAAGAGATAACAGATCCTGGATGAGGATGTGGAGGAAAGAGAACGTCAGCGCACTGATGGTGGCAGCGTCAACTAGTATAGCTGTTGTGGGAAACAGTAGGGAGGTTCCGCAGAAAAATTAAAAACAGAACTACTATATGATCCAGCAATGCTACTTCTAGGTTTATACCCAAAAGCAGTGTGAAATCACTGTCTCAGAGCCAAGCTATGAAAATGACTTAAGTATCCATCAGTGGATGAATGGATAAAGATGTGGATTATTATTGAGCCGTTTAAAAAAAACAAAGGGAATCTTGCAGTTTATGACAACATGGATGAACCTGGATAAGTGAATTAAGCCAGACAGAGAAAGACGAATACTACACGGTATCACTTACAAGTAGAATGTTTTAAAAAAAAGTCAAATTCATAGGAACAGATAGTAGAAAAGTGGTTGCCAGCTACTGGATGGTCAGGGAAATAGGGAGACAGTGATAAAAGGTTACAAACTTCAGTTATGAGTAAGTTCTGCTTAAAGAGTAGAACTTAAATGTTCTCACCAAAAAGTAAATATGTGAGGTGACGGATGTGTTAATTAAATCGATGAGGAGAATACTTTCCCAGTGTATACATATATCAGACTATCACATTGTAACACTTTAAATATCTTACAGTTTTGTCAGTTTTCAAAAAAAATCACCTAGTTAACCCTAATCCTTTGCCAAAAATAAGCAAAGACCCAGAAAAATAACTGATTAAAGATCAGGCAACTGGGACCCCTGCATGGTTCAGTTAGGTGTCTGCCTTCGGCTGAGGTCATGATCCCAGGGTTCTGGGATCAAGTCCAGCATCCGTCTCCTTGCCTCTCCTGCTCCCTTTGCTTGTGCTCTCTCTCTCTCTGACAAATAAATAAGTAAAATCTTAAAAAAAAAAAATTAAAGATCAGACAACTATCAAGTGCTAAAACTGAGGTTTCAAAGAGTAATCAGGGGGCACCTGGGTGGCTCAATGGGTTAAGCCTCTGCCTTCAGCTCGGGTCCTGGTCTCAGGGTCCTGGGATCGAGCCCCACATCGGGCTCCCTGCTCAACAGGGAGCCTGTTTCCTCCTCCCTCTCTCTGCCTGCCTCTCAGCCTACTTGTGATTTCTCTGTGTCAAATAAATAAATAAAATATTTAAAAAAAAAAGAGTAATCAGGATATGTTGGAAAAAAGCAAAGTATCACCCCCCCCCAAAAAAAACTTTAATTAGGTTTTTCTGAGAATAGGACCATTTTAAAGAAATTACATCAGTGAAATTAGCCCATTTAAAAAAGTATCTTTTTCTAGGAAAACATAAATAATGCTTTCTAGTTGTCTGAATTTTCCAACCAGCTTATATCTTAACAAAGAAAAATGAACTTCTCTTGTGGTTATGAAGCAGAAGAGTTGACTCTAAGGAATAATACGTAAACTAGAAATCTTGGAAACATTGAAGGCATATTCTTCAGACAATAGGATTTTTCACCTCAAATTATATCAATTCGTTTCATACCTAGTTAAAATAATGTGTTAACAGATGACTGGATAAGGACATGACCAAAGATTTGGGAATGTATTTCCTGCACTGTCAAGAGGAAAAGGTGCGCTGGGGTGCCTGGGTGGCTCAGTTGGTAAAGCGACTGCTTCGGGTCCCAGGATCAAGTCCCACATCAGT